TTGCATCAAAACGTATTTCGTGCTTTAAAAGTGTTGATTTCGTTCCAGAACTCAAAACAAAAAATTAAAGAAACAAGAATCACTGTGCTGAAGTTGAGCAAGATAAAAGACTGGAAAATATCACTGAAAATATGAGCTAGTGTTGTAACAATATTTTATATAACAGGTGATGCAGAGCCTTTTAAATCATTACATGATGATTGCTTTCCTGAGGTATCTGAAAAGCGCCAGTCCCAATTTGATCCGGATTCTTCCCAGAAAAGACTCCGTTATATCATATTTTGGCTGGCACTGTTATTTTTATCGCTTGACGTAAACGGCAAGATTCGAACCGGCAAAGGAGAATTAATTTCTGCCTAGTATCTTTTGGTACATCGGCGCAACTCTTCTCGTGATACCGGGGTAACAGTAGCAATGAAATGGCACCTCTTAACCGCTCAGAATTTGGACCACCGGAAGCAAAATTCGGCTTGAGGAATTGTTTTGCCTGGACGGTGCACTATATTGTAGTCACAGACAGCCAATGCAATGCTCCATCGCTGAATCATCGACGCTGTCGGTTTGGAAATCGACTTTTGTGGGCTGAACAGGTACTGCAAAGCTTGATGATCGGTTACGATGGTGAAACGTAATCGAAACAGGTATTTGTGCAGGTGTCGGACGGCCCAATATACAGCCAATGCTTCTTTCTGTGTCTGCGAATATCCTCGTTTTACCGTGTTCAATAGACGAGAGACGCAGACAGTCGGACATCTGCCCTGTTCGAGGATGGCACCAATGCCAACATCTGATGCGTCGGTGATCAAAGTTGGATGTTTTGTCGCAGAGAACGAGGCGAGTACTGATCAGTCAGTTATCATCTGAATGATTTCACGCAGAATTTGTTCACACTCGGTAGCCCATTTCCATTCCGTAGTCGACTGAGCAGCGAACAGTGGTTGAGCTTTCGTGGCGGAATTCGGGATGAAACGCGAATAGTATTGGAGGCATCCCACGATGGATCTGAGTTGGTGTTGGTCTCCCGGTGATTCGAGTTCAGTCAATGGGCGGAAGTGTCTTGGATCAGGACGGTAGCCTTTTGCATCCACTGTGAAGTCCAAGAATTCCAATTCTGGCGAACTGAACATGCATTTGGAAGCGCGAATTGACACATTCTTTTGGATGAAACGATCCAGAAGTTTGAGGATTCTATCGTCATGCTCAGCCTTCGTTGTACCAAACACAATGATGTTGTCCTGATACGCTAACACACAATCGAGTCCGTGAATGACTTCGTCAATAGCCACCTGAAATATGCCTGAAGAAGTGTGGAGACCAAACAGTAGGAAGTTGTACTGATATAGTTCCCACGGTGTGTTGATGGTGGTGAATTGCCGGCAGGCTAGAGCGAGATAAATCTGGAGGTAAGAATCAGCCAAGTCGATCTTCGAGAATCATGTGCTGCCGTGCAATACTTTTATGAAATCCTCCGGTTCCATGGTGATAGCCGCACACTTTCGTAACCGCGGTTTGAGGGTTAACCGGTAATCGCCACAAATTCGCGGTGTTTTGCCGTCACTTTGATCGCAATCACGATTGGCGTTGCCCAGGCACTGGATGTGACTCGGGTGATTATGCCGTCACGCTCCATTTTCTCAAGGGCCTGCAGCACGCCTTCACATTGGCCATAGGGGATTAGACGTCGTTTCAGAAAAATGGGCTCTCCGTCAACTACCAATTTGACCGGCTGTACGTTCATTTCACGATTAAGCGCTGTAAACGGGCGTGCATATTGGACATAGAGCTTGTATGGAGCGACACAGAATGGTTCAATGCACGAATGGCGGTTAAGCCAAGTATGGATGAACTGCTTTTGGCAATTAGGAAGCGAATGGGAACGAGGCGATTTTCTGTGGAATGAACCATCAACGAAACCTCACCAATCAATGGCAACTTGTGTTCAGTCACACCAAGGATTCGCACAAATGTCGGACAGATTTCGGCTTGGGGACAGATTGACCAAAGCACTGCAGTAGAAATGACTGAGTCCTTGCTTCTCGTGTCAACAATGAATTTGTGCGTGTTGCCGCACTGTGGTATCACATCTTTGTACAGGAATTGAGTGCATTGGCTTTCGGATTGTAGAGAGAGCACAAGGTTCATTCACAAGGTGTCATTCGCGGCCGTTGGCTGTGCAAGATTGTAACGGGGCGGTTTACACGCTCCCAGAATGTGGTCAGTTTTCCCGCATGCATGACACTTGGCATTTCGGAAGCGCAAATTGGAGCATAGATGGAAAGCTCCACAAGACCAACGGATTGATACGTTTCTCGTTGCCTGAAGAGTCTTGCGGCGGCTTCGGTATACACTTGACAATTGGAAGCCGGTTCGTTCGTGTCTTCTGCCGTTGAAATAATGTGACTGCTTTGCTGGAGGTAGCTCTCATTAGGTCGTGTTGCCCACAGATCTTGCGGGCCTCGGCGAAATTCAAATCCTTCTTCTCCAGTAACTTCTGTTGGAGAGTCAGATTATTAATGACTGCTACCAAGCGGTCACACAGTAGTTCTTCCAGGCGGTCACCATAGTTGCAACGTGATGCCTGTTTGTTCAGCTTCAGGATGAAGTCACGGCAGGAAACATGATCGGCACGAATCATAGAGTTGAATTTGGCCCTTTCGTGTGCCTGGAACTCAATGGGCAGCAGGTGGTTGAGCAGCACGTTTCAGTTTTTCAGTTTTACAACCATTAACCATGCACTTTCG